AGGATTGAAGATAAACTCCACTACTAGATCAAGTGAGTTAACCTTTCAATTTTCTTCACTATGTTCTTCTACTAATCATTAAGCTCTCTATGTTTCCTTAGTTTTGAAAGGTCTGCTCCTATTTTAGTATTTTTGGCGAGTCTCTTAATTCCTAGAATTGCAGTGTTGATGAATTGTATTGGCAATCATCCCAGCAGACTTATAATTTTAGCTAAATTGCACGTTGGTAAACCAAAGATTTGAAGCTTTATTTCATTGCTACATTTGCTGCAGTTATATTATTATAGAATATTAAGTATTAATAACAAAGAGAAACCTGCAAACTTTGCACGCGATGCCTTTAATGTGACACAAGTTGAATATACTTCTAGTGAAAAATTTCGTGTGACACTAAAGGTCCTCCAGAATAGTTTGATTGCTATTATATGATGGTATAATGATTCAATGAAATTTGTTTTTTGTTATGTTTTAAGTGAAAGTTGGCTCAGGTGATGTTTAAATTTATAAAATATGATGAGGAATTTAATGTTCACATTTACATGACTAACTAAGGTAAATAGCAAGCCAGTCTATAGCAGAATTTGACTAATCTCATACTGTAACTGCAAGAGACTATTTAACATATACTACCTATGTATCATAATTGTGTGAGTGTAGTTAACGGTGACTCCGAAGTAGGTATGTTAATATCAGACTCTAAGAAGCTTGCATGAGGTCATATGCTTTCAGAAGTTGCAATCATCAGGCCAATGATTAGAAAAAGAAAGGGAGAACAACATGTTTGTGATGTATTTGATGAACCTATATCCATTTGGTCTTGCTAGGATATGCTTTTTCAAAAGTGGGTATATGAGGCTTAGATGCTCCTGAAATACATAGCTTTCAAGGGTGTTAGACTTGATGTGAGACTTAATTTATTGTTCCAGATTTTAAAATATATTCTAAAGCAGATGCTAACTTTATAGAAAAGTGATGCATTAAAAGATTTTAAAGGACTTCCAAATGTTAAATTTATTCTAAAGCAGTTAAATATGTTTTTGATCAGGTGGAAAAACATATATAGTTCAGGTCATCTTATTTCTTGCTTATGGATTGATGATCGGTATGATTAGGAGCATTACAGGGTCAATAATATTTTATTGTAGCTTCATTTTTGGTAGCGAGACTGTGGGAGAGGTTAAACCTTGCGATTATAAATATTACTAATGCAACATATTATAGGTTGTTTTTTATTGTATTTTATTTTTTATTGCAAACTATGGGGAGATTTGTTATAGGAAAAGGGAAACTAATAGTTAATCACTTTTAACAGTCTCGTCATAGCAATCATATTCTTACATTTTACCGTTTTAATAATTGTATACTTCCCAATGTTGAAGTAAATTGTTATAGAAAATTACTATGCTACAATTGCTTATTTATTGTCATTTTATGGTAATTGTATATTATTGCAGATGCATAAAAGGAAAAGAGGCACATGAAGGTGATAAAAACATTAGGAGGATCAATGAGGAAAAAAAGAGGAGACAAATATGAGGATTTATGTGTTAAAATGTATTAAAAGAAAATATGATAAGAAGCAAAGCCAAATAACATACTTGATAAATGTAATAAATTGAATTATATATGTATTGTGATAGTTTTATATGTTCTCTTTTGTTGCTTTTTGTTGCATTATATTTGTTTCTTTGTGTTGCATTGTGTTTCTTGTTGTTGCTTTTTGTTGCATTATATTTGTTTCTTTTCGTTAGGGGTGGGCGCGGTCCAGAACGGTCCGGTAAACTAGTAAAACCCGTAATGTATCCATTAGGTTTTTAACGGTCTGGTTTCAAGGATGGAACCTTTCGGTACCATGCCGTTTCGGAACGGTACAAAACGGTACGGTACAATGTCAAACACATGCTAAAAAATTTGAACAAATCTCGCAATTAGTAGATATCTTCACGCCAACCAACTCACATTAAATGTTGATATAAATACAAGAAATTGCATATGTAGTACTAAAATTCACAAATATACAAACAGTGCAACACAACTAAGAAAAAGTATAGTAAAACGATATGCCCACAAACAGTGTATCACATTACGGGACGGCTCGGTACCGGTTCGGTTCGGGTTTTATGCCCACCCCTACTTTTCGTTGCGTTGTGTTTCTTGTTGGTGCATTTTGTTGCTTATTGTTGATTATAGTTGAATTTGATTTTAGTTGTTTATTTAGGTTCGTGCTTATATATCTTTGCTACTTCTTTGGAATCAAAAAGTCATTTATAGATATGTAATCGCCTAAAATGATAAATTTCCATTTATGAATATCAACAACAAAACTTGAAGAAACAATAAAAAACAAATATGTGAAATTTGCAACAAAAATAAACATACAGAAACACAAAGAAACAATATGCAAAAAAAAATAACAATAAAATGATAATAAGAATTGAACTTCGTAGCTCCTTAAATTTATTAAAAATCATACTTTGTAATATTTTCAACTTTTTTACATTTTACTATTTTAGAATTTTGTACATTTGGTATTCGAGTTTGGAATTATTACCTTTTTAAAAAATTTAATACTTTTTACCCTTTTTATTATTTATTTTATATATTTTATGTTTTTTTGTTTTATTTCTCTTTTGGATTTTAAAAATTTCCCCCCATACACAATGATTAATTTACTTTTGTTAAGTTTTGTAATTTTTTCCATTGTTTCAGTATTTTTATATATTTTTACAATTTTGCTTTCAAGTTTTGATTTTAAATAAAAAAAAAGTAATTCTTCAGCTTTGTCTTATACTCCGTATTTTGGAATCACAAGAGATAATAATCTTACTATGTATTTTAAACTTTTATAGATTTACAAAGATACAAATTTTTATACTTTGTTTTATTGTAATCACTAGTTTTCAACCCCGCGCGATGCACGGGCAGTACGTATTTTAGCTAATTTTAAATGTGTTTTTCAAAAGTTGGTTGTGGAATAAATTTATATTAATAAATGAAGTGTTTCATTGACACTATAATCTAAGAACAATACTAAATTGATTATTTGACTTGGTTCAGACTGTTTATTCAACATACAAAATAAACAACCTCATATACAAATATCATTTTATCCCGATATATATCTTAACCTACACAAATGTCTTAATCCAGACAGTACTTAATAGAAAAAGAGTAAACAACCCTTCACTTTAATATAGAGCCCGTTTGATATCAATAAAATTGATCGAATTGACTGATTATGCTGAAATCGATTAAGTTCTGTCTGAATGGTATGCATAATAATTTTTTATTATTTCTAATAGTGACAAATTCAAATGATTTTACTCATTATTTAGTCACATTGAAAATGTTTCAAAGTGTAGTTTTTAAAACTTCAAAACACTTTTCTGAATTGGACATTTATTTATCATAAGTTCTCTAAACTAATCCTTTCAAAAAAAGTTGTCTAATGTTCTAAACCAATATACGGAGTAAAAAAAGAAGCTTGAAGGGTAACTCAGTTCTTTCGCATCCTTTTCCCTTTTCTACGTCAGTAATCTGGGCATTCTATATATATGATCTCTAAACAATAGGACTCTTCAAACGAAGGAGAAACTCATCAGAACAGAAAGAATAGTGAAACTGTGAAAGCATACTTTAGTTTACATTCTCTTCCTATTTATAAATTCCAAATATAGAAACATAAAACATGACCAATGAATAGTAACATAAAATATGGGATATTAAATATTGAAGATCCATTAATTAAACTTGGATTTCCTTATGTTTTATACGTAGGTTTTATACGTAGGTTAATTTTTTAACTATAGTACATAGGTTAGATGTTTCTAAAATATGACCTATGAATAGCAACATAAAATATGGAATATTAAATATTGAAGATCCATTAATTAAACTTGGATTCCCTTATATTTTATACGTAGGTTAATTTTTTGAAAGTACGTAGGTTGATGTTTCTAAAATATGACCTATGAATAGTAACATAAAATATGTGATATTAAATATTGAAGATCCATTAATTAAACTTGGATTCCCTTAAAACTAATTAAATAATTGTTATGTATGATGACATGGCAGAGTTACGTGACACGTTGTATGCTCTTAAAAAGTTCCTCTTATATATATATATATATATATATATATATATATATATATATATATATATATATATATATATATATATATATTGATTTTTACATTTATTTTCATCTCAATAAAATTTTCAAAATTTACAAATTTTCGTAGTGATAGTATACGGCTTAAGGCGATGAACGGGTTCCTAGGGCTAGAAGTAGGGGTGAGCATGGAACGGGACGGGATGGTTATTTCAAAAAACCTGTCCCGTTCCAAAGTACGGTTCTTTTAAAAATCAAGAACCGGTACCGTCCCGCATATATATGGAACCTGTCCCGTTCCGTACCAATTTTCAGCACGGTTCGGTACGGTTCTTCAGTGTTATTTGGTTCGTAAATAATTAACCGCCATGAAATATAATTAACCCTATTTACATAGCATTGTTTATATCACTTAGTATTGTTTTTGTTTTAAAGCTAACTTTTAGTGTTGTGAAGTCTTAATAATTGGGATTACGCCATAAGAATATGCAAGATTGCATATTTGTAATATATGGACATACGATCCCTGACATTTATACTCGGTAAATGTTATAACATTTATACTCGATAATATATTATGTATAATATAATATTATAATCTAACACTAGTTTTCGGGACAATTCGGGACGGTACGCGACGGTTCGGGACAATACGATTCCGGGATGGTTCCGGAACGGTTCTCACTAAGAACCGGTACCGTACCATATTATTAAAAAAGATCGGTACGGTACGGTACGGTTTTACATTTTTCCGGTTCTCTCGGTTCTGGAACGGTTCGGGACGGTTCTTCGGTACGAAACGGGAATTCCCAGATCCGTGCTCAGCCCTAGCTAGAAGGATCATTAATGAACAAATAGGTGTGATTGCAACGAGAGAGAGAGAGAGGGGAAGCTATGAGTTCCAACTTGCAAGGGAATACATCATCACCGCCTCCCTCAGTGGAGGAGGGAGATCATCTCCAAGTTCCACCAAAAAGATCAAACAGGCAGGTATGACTGGAATTGGTAAGCGATCATTTGCAGAGACAGTTGCTTCACACTTGGGGGTTCCTGAAGAGAACACGACGGACTGGCGTATGGAAGTCGGGGAGGAAGTATCAGATGATGAAGATTTCCAGATTGATAAGGATGATTTTCCTTAAGGTGATTATTCCTAAGGAACGGAAAAAGGAGATTAGGTTACAATGGAGGAAAGCTTTGATCGTGAAAACTTTGAGTAAGGTTCCTTTTCCCATCCTCCAAAATCGTCTTCGTCGTTTGTGGAACCCTCATGGTAGAGTGGAGTTCATAGACCTGGGATTTGGATGTTATACCATTAAAGTCGATTTGCAGAGAGACTGTTTTCATATTCTGATGGAAGACCCCTGGAAGGTTTTCGATCATTACATTATTGTATAGAGATGGGTACCCAATTTTGAGCCTTCCTTTGCTGCCTGAGAAGATGGCAGTTTGGGCCTGTCTTCTTGGTCTCCCCACTGAATATTTTGTGGAAGACATCATCAAAGCAACACTTGAAAAACTAGGAACCCCGTTAAAGCTTGATAGGACTACAATGTCTGTAGCTAAAGGGAGATTTGCTAGAGCGGCAGTGGAAATTGACATGCTAAAGCCTCTGGTGCCTTACGCCTGGATTGGGAAACGAAAGCAAGCCATTGAATATGAGGGTCTTCACACGATATGTTTTTGAATGTGGGGAGTATGGCCATCGTAAGGAAATCTGCTCCCGTCGGCCACAACCGGCAGTGATCCTTGAGGAAACGACAAGTACAGAGGACACCGTCATGGTAAGGAATAATACTGACGAAATGAAGGGTGATAAATTTGGGCAGCATATGTTGGTAAAACGTTATTCATGGAAGGAAGTGACCAAAGGAAAGAATAAAACTAAAGAAGGAAAATACATTTTAAATAACAAAGCCACTACTAAGGAAATGAGTAATAGATTTGCTTCCCTGGTCATCAATGAGTTTTTTCCCAAATGAGGGTGGTCTTCAATCTTATTTCCCAATTAAGGGTACTTTTAATCTTATTTCCCAAAACATGGTATTTTCTTCCTTGTCATCCAATTTCGCCACATCATGTATTCCACATCATTCACAGTGAGGAATAATCGAACCCAAGACCAAATTGAAAACATTCATCAAACAAACCACTGAGCTACCTAGGACTGTGGTTACAACACTCCTTTAAAGATGTTTTTACAAATGCTTAAATGCCGCAGGAGTGTACTTATTCATTATAAGTTGTTTCTTTAGAAATATATATTATTACTCCTTCCTATATGCAATCAAATAGAGAATATGATAAAATACTTAATTAGGGATCAAAACTATGGAGAAGAGGGAGTTTTTTCCCAAATGAAGGTATTCTTCAATCTTATTTCCCAATTAAGGGTATTTTTAAACTTATTTCCCAAAACAAGGTATTTTTTGTCCTTGTCAGCCAATTTTGCCACATCACTTGGTCCACATCATTAAAATTTAAAAAAATCGGACGGCCCTAGGATTTGAACTCACGACCAAGTTGATACACTTCCAAAATGTAAACCACAGGACCATATTGACTTTCTTCCACAATTGCATCTTTACATTTTAATAACCTCTACGAAGTATGTATTTAGTACTACATACTTTTAAATACAACGTAATATGATATATTCAATTAGAAAATAATTTCAAATATCTCTACATTATATAAATCAAGAAACAAATAAATTCAAACGTTGGACTAACTCACCCTAAATTTTATATAAAAACAAATCTTATATTACTAATGAAAAAACATGCATTTTTTTTTTAATTTTATGTAATTTTTGTTTACATTAAATTTTGTGTAACAAAATAAAAAAAAAAATCCAACACTAATATACACGATTTTTTACAATCATAATTTCATTTTTTTACAAGCAAGTATGAGGTGGATTTAAATCTATATTGACATTTTTTTTAGTGTAGATTTATTGTAATTATTCTTGTATAGCATATACCAAATTATTTTATATCATATTTTTTAATTGTTTCAATATTGAGTAATATATACACACATATATATATATATATATGAATGAACGATTAATATATGAATTAAGTTGATATTGCCGTGCGCTTAAATATATAGTAGTATATGTTAAATACTTGTCAAGGAGACTTTGTAACAAATGACTAGCGTAGTCCAGCCGCTCGCATTTTTTTATATTTTATAAAATGTGGAGTTATTATAAATTACTTCCTCCGCCCCAAAAAACTTTGTCATTTTCAAAACATTGACTAACTATATCTTTTTATTGAAAATCATGTATAATATAAAAATTATATGAAAAAGTTCTTTGTTAAAAGTATTTCCATAAAAGTATAGAATTTATAATTTCCATAATATTATACTAACCAAAATCAAGGTTTAAATTTTTTGAAATGACAAAGTTTTTGGGATGGAGTCAGTATTTTTTTAATTGCATATACAAAGTTGCGTTTGTATTATAATTTTGAATGAGTTTTTTACTTTTGATTGCATATCCCTAATTAAGTATTTTATCATATTCTCTATTTGATTGCATATAGGAAGGAGTAATAATATATATTTCTAAAGAAACAACTTATAATGAATAAGTACACTCCTGCGGCATTTAAGCATTTGTAAAAACATCTTTAAAGGAGTGTTGTAACCACAGTCCTAGGTAGCTCAGTGGTTTGTTTGATGAATGTTTTCAATTTGGTCTTGGGTTCGATTATTCCTCACGTCATTTTTTTATTTTTAACAAGATTGACCAAACTGTGATGACGTGGAGGGGATGAGGGTGGTGAATGATGTGGAATACATGATGTGGCGAAATTGGATGACAAGGAAGAAAATACCATGTTTTGGGAAATAAGATTAAAAGTACCCTTAATTGGGAAATAAGATTGAAGACCACCCTCATTTGGGAAAAAACTCGGAGAAGAGGAGAGTGACACTGGAGATATATGGATAAAAACAGCAGAAAAGTTTTGCTCACGGGATAAGCTTCAAGATGAGGAGATTTTTGGAAATAATAAAGCCATTTTCAACCATGTCGATCCACGTTTGAGTCCAAATAAGTTGCTGCTGAAAGATCCTATTCAAAACAGAGATAACAAAGAACTTTTAAATACTAGGCCCAATAGGCTGCCACACAATGCACAACGCCATCACAAACACGTTCAGGAGCCTAAGAAGTCATTACATGTGAGTATTAATAATCCTGCAAATCAAGGTGTGTTCCATTTTGGTTCTTCTTCTAGCCAATTGAAAGGTATGAATACTAGCGTATCATCGTCCCAGCTAAGATAAAATAAATAAATCAGTTGACATAAACAACTTACCGGATAAGGACCACGGAGTGGGTCAAGAGGAGGTGATGGATGTAATCACAAGATCAACATCAGATAGTTTGGGAATTTCAACTTCCACATTACCAATACTAAATAAATGAAGATTATGACCTGGAGCTGTCGGGGTATCGTTAACAAGAGAACTATCCAACATGTGAGGGATCTGATTGATTCACATCACTTGGATGTCATGGGTCTCTTTGAGACTAAAGCAGCCAACCCTAACACAATGGTCAACATGGCAAGTTCACGGGGTTTGAGGAATTGGGAGTATGTTAAACCTTTAGGCTTTGCTGTGGGATTCTTCTTCTTTGGGATGCGAACAGAGTCACCCTTTCTATTGTGGAAAAAACCACTCAAGCTATTCAATGTAATGTAAATGTTAGCGGATGCAGTATCATTTGTTCCTTTGTGTATATTCGTCCCAACCCTATGTTAGGATTGGAAAATTCTTCTATTCATAACCAGAACAGAATTACAATAGGAGGAGCAACTCTCTCACTCAACTATTACAAAAAAACCAACCCTTTCATACACTCACTCTATGTGTATCACTCTCACTACTTTTCTCTCCGATTTTTGATGCATTTGATCAAGCTAGAACCACCCTATTTATAGGGAAATGCTGGGAGACAATTGCATGCAGCCCATATAGCATCCCATGCCTTCCCATGCCTTCTCATGCCTTCCCATACCTTTAAATTGACGGAGGATGGAGCTTCATGCCATGGAGTGGGTGTGTGTATGGGAGCTGCAGCAATCCTACAAATCTCCCCCTCCAGCTTTTTCCGTAATTCTCTCATTCCAATGATGCTTGTACATAGCTTGTGCTTCTCGTGTGGCACCACTTTAGTTAGCATGTCTGCCGCATTTTTGTTTGTTTGTATCTTGGAGAGCTTTAGTTCATCTTCCTCAATTGCTTCTCTAAGCGAGTGATATCGAACATCGATATGTTTTGTGCGTGAATGATACATCGAGTTCTTGCTAAGATCCATAGCACTCTGACTATCACAATGAATGATGTACTCCTCTTGAGGATAGCCCAATTCTTGGAGAAAACATTTCAGCCACTTGAGCTCCTTCCCGGCTTCAACGGCGGCAATGTATTCAGCTTCTGTCGTAGACAATGCTACACACCTCTGCAACTTGGACTGCCATGAGACGGCTCCCCCTGCTAGTGTGAATATGTAACTTGAAGTAGATTTTCTACTGTCAAGATCTCCAGCCATATCAGCATCTGTATAACCTTCCAAGATTGGTTTCGCTCCCCCATAGCACAAGCATAGCTTTGATGTACCCTTCAGATACCTAAGTATCCATTTGACAGCTTCCCAATGTTCTCTTCCTAGATTTGACAAGTACCTACTTACAACACCAACCGCGTGAGCAATATCAGGTCTTGTACACACCATTGCATACATCAAACTTCCTACTGCTGAAGAGTAGGGTACTGCTTTCATCATCTCCTTTTCTTTCTCAGAAGAAGGACAACTTTCCTTACTCAACTTGAAGTGATTGGCTAGCGGAGTGCCTACAGGTTTGGCATTATCCATGTTGAACCTTTTGATCACGCGTTCAACATACTCTTCTTGTGATAAGAACAACTTCCTTGCCTTCCGATCACGAACAATTTTCATGCCCAAAATTTGTTGCGTCGGGCCTAAGTCTTTCATATCAAAAACTTAGACAAATCTTGCTTCAAGTTGTTGATGAGGGACACATCTTGGCCTACTATCAGCATATCATCCACATAGAGCAGAAGGATGATAAATTTTCCATCTGGGAACTTCTTCAAGTACACGCAATGGTCTGCCACTGTTCTCCTGTATTGGTGCTTCACCATGAATGAGTCGAACTTCTTGTACCATTGCCTCGGGGCTTGCTTGAGGCCGTACAGGCTCTTCTTTAGCCTGCAAACAAGATGTTCTTTCTTTGGAACTTGGAAACCTTCGAGTTGCTCCATGTATATTTCCTCTTTCAGATCACCATGGAGAAATGTTGTTTTCACATCCATCTGTTCAAGTTCAAGATTTAGACTGGCAACCAACCCGAGTACCACTCGAATCGACATCATCTTCACAACCGGTGAAAAGATCTCATCAAAGTCAATTCCCTGTTTTTGTTGGAATCCTTTGACCACGAGTCTTGCCTTGTGCTTCACAATATTTCCCTTGATATCTTTCTTCACCTTAAAAACCCATTTGTTTTTCAAGGCTTTCTTTCCTTTGGGAAGTGGCACCAAGTCATAAGTTTGGTTCTTCTGCAAGGATTTCATCTCATCTCCCATGGCTTCCCACCAATTGGACTTGTCTTAATGAGATTGAGCTTCTCGAAAGCTCTCTGGCTCCCCCTCGCTGGTAAGGATCCATTCAGATGTCGGGTACCTTCTTTATGGAACAGTACCTCGCGTAGAACGTCGAAGTTGTGTGTTGTCAGTGTGGCCTTCAGATGAATGCTCCCCCTGCTCAGGAATTCCTCCATCTTGAACATCATCAACAACTACTGGGCCATCATTCACTGGTTCAGTATTATCACTCATTTCCTCGTTATTGAGAGGAACGTGTGATACTACAGGAACGTCTTCAGGAGCATGAGAGAGATGTTGTTTGTTGTGTGTTGGAGTAAAATCATGAAATTGGGATTCATGAAACACTACATCTCTGCTTCGAATAACTGTCTTCATTTCGGGATCCCACAACCGGTATCCAAATTCTTGATCTCCATAGCCGATGAAGATGCATGGGTTCGACTTAAGATCAAGTTTTTGCCTCACCTCCTTGGAAACATGTGCAAATGCCTTGCACCCGAACACTTTCAAGTGAGAGTAAGAAATGTCTTTTCCTGACC